CAGGCTCCCGTTTGTCAGATGGAGGGAGTAAATACAGCGTCAAGCTTTGGGACAAACTCCCCTCTCTCCGGCAGAAACAGGAAATGCCGTAACTGTAACAACGGTTTCAAATCGGCATCTCTTTAAAATTACTGATTACTTACAAAGCCCTCAACAATCAGGCCCCCCCCTACCTCACAGACCTGCTGCACCACCACACCCCTTCCCGCTGCCTCCGCTCATCAGAAGCATAGACTGTATATATAAAGATCAGAAGCCAACCCCTTATCCATCCCCACCCGTGTCAAGCACCGGACCTGGCGGGACAGAGCCTTCTCCGTCGCTGCCCCCTCCCTCTGGAACTCACTCCCACAACCCATCAGAGACTGCACTGACCTCCCCACCTTCAAAAAACGTACAAAAACTCACCTCTTCAATCTGGCTTTTAATGTGTGATTGTTTTTGTATTGCTTGATTTTAATTTGACTTTAACTATATTTATTTGTTGTTCTTCTCTTTTCACTATCTTTGTAAAGGGACTTTGACCACCTGTAAAAGCGTTAACAAAATAAATCTATTATCATTATTATTATTATTATAAGTAGCCAGGCCTGCATTATCAGTGACAACAACTCACTGGTAGCCTAAGAAGACTGCTTAATACACTCAAATTAGTAAATGTATCACTTTTAAAGTATTTCTGCAGCAACATATCTCCATAGAGTTAATCAAATACAAGGCGATTGAGATAAATACTGATATGCATTAAGCCTGGCTTTAGTTGCTCAATTATTATCTTTAAAAAATATATAATTATATATATTGTTTTATTTCTGACTTAACATATAATATTGATCTTAAAACATAAATAAATGTGTTAATGTCTCATTATAAACAGGTATGTTTTGGGGCTGCAGTGTTAATATGAAAATTGCAGCATTTGCAGGCTTTGTTTACCTGTATAACAAGTTTATTTGACTGAATAAAGATTTCAATGTCTAATTAGTTTTTGATGTAATCTATCAGTGTATATGTTTTCCTGTATAGAAAATGTGTTGTGTCTATGAGTTTCAGAGAAATGTATTATTATAGTGCGTTTCTCTGTACACCAGAGGTAGACTATAGGGCAGAGAGGTGTTTGCACTTGTTCGCTTTTCCATAATACACAAACTGCACAAAATTAGGCTAGTAACTAACTGCATGGCTTCCGCCTCTGGGAGATATGTATATATATTGTCGGAATTCAAGGTTGACATCAAAGTTAACAGTTACTGTGACCAACCAACCTTACCACCTAGCCATACAGTACCTTTACCCAAAATAGTTTGGTGGCTCGAATTAAAGGTCCCATGTCATGGACATTTCTACTGATCATACTTCCATTGTTGAGGTCTACTAGAATAGATTTACATTGTGCAATTTTCCAAACTCACATAGGTTTCTCATACAGCATCTCTGTATAGTATGTGTATTCACTCTCTGTCCTAAACGGCTTGTTGGAGCTCCTGCCCCCCTCCCTGTGAGCCAAGTGTGCTCTGATTGGTCAGCTCGCCCACTCTGTTCTGATGAGTCCACCACCGTTACAGCGGAAGATCAGTGATTATGTGTTACAATGGCGTTTGCAACCAGACAATGACACCAGTAATGACAAACAGATGGAGGGGCAAACTGTGGCCGTTTCTCAATCGCGAGGAAACTGGCTTCCAAGCCAATATTTCAAGGATACTACGTCATCGAGTGCCGCCGAAGGACTGTTCCAATCTCCAGCATACTTGGAATTCCACCGAGGCCACGTCCTTGGTTTGGGGGTAATTTCGAGGCTGCACATGGGTAGACTTCGCGTCCTTCAAATCCCCACAATGCTTTGCGCACGGACCAATTTCAAAAACCCTTGCGGAGAATGGCTGAACCGACGCAGCAGAGCACACATTTAAATGTAAGTATGTAGTGGGTAGAACATGTGTTGGTAAATTACTTTGTTGCATTTGTTATTACCAAAAATGTGTTCCGTGAAAGTAAAGCAAGTTCATAATTAGATATACATCGTGAGGTATTTATTTTTGGTAGTTTATGTTGAAACCGTTAGAGAGAGTGGCACACTTGTTAGCCTGTTCCATTCTTCTTTGTTTTCCGAAGCCGTGGCTTGGAAGTATACTTGCTTCGTTTCTGAAGGAAGTGACTTGGAAGTATGCGACTACCAAGGCAGTATCCTCGCGATTGAGAAACGGCCTCTATTTTCCGAAATAAGGTCCCATGGACCGGAAGTAGATGGGCGGGACTTCGCCAACCTGAAAAGCATGACATGGGACCTTTAAATGAAAATTATAAAAAAAACAAAGTACTTGTTAAATTAACATAACACCCAATAATACACACTCTTAAAAGAGACAATGCATATATATTTAACATAGTCAGAAGCTACAATTGCTCTATAAATTATACGTACAATCAGTACTGTAGGTCTAGCTCACTTCCTCAAAACAGCCTTCAAAATGTGCCCACAACCTCGCTACAGGTCTCTAAAGTAGTATCACTCCGCGCCTAGCAAACCCCGAGTGTAGTTAATCTGTATGACACTAGGACCCCAAAACTGTATTGCTAAATATAGCATATGAATTGGAAAATATCTAAGATAAGCATATCTATGTCATGGTCTGTAAATGATATTGTAACAGTAGTAGTAAACCGTCCTAGGATACATCCCCTGGAGTTTACCTCATGCAAAATCCGTGCTGGGTAGACATTTTGGCTCTGTCCGGATCATTTGAACACAGCCTTGCCGTGACGTGCCTGGAGCCACGATGATGATGATGATGATGATGATGATTAAATGCTACGTCTCCAGCGTGCAATGCAATGCCACTGCGAGCCATATCGGCGGAAGGCTTTCAAGCGGTAGCGCAGTAAAATATGCCGTCCAACAATGAGAGATCCGGCTCGAAGACTGGCCTTCAGAATAAAAGAATGGTATTAATGTGCCATAAGGTAATTGTGTACCATATAAACATACAAACGTTTGGTCTCTGAGAAAGACATGAACATTTTTGTTTGTAGAGGTTAAATCATTTTTCAAGTTAACTCTTTAGATAGCTGATTCGTAATTTATTTAATGCAAAATATGATTTTGTCCAACGACTCAGAAATGAAAATGTGATGCTTTCCTCTGTTCTCTATCATAGCAAATTAGAAACACATATGTCTGGCTTTTGGACTTTTGGTCTGGCAAAATCAGCAATTTGAAGGGTAAAGAGGCATTTGCTGTTAATAAACATTTGCGAAGTTATTCACTTTAAATTCTACTGTTTAACTGATTTTGATACTTTGCTTCTTTTTTTTACTTGGGCAGTTTAATTTATAGTATGAAGATAAAGTACAGCCAACCTGGAACGTTTAATAGATGTTCGCATATGTTTGAGGGTTACCTACATGTTTGATTTAATGGCGACGGGGCTTTTATTTTGAAGAGTTGTTTTCGGAAGTCGAGTCGTTGTTGCTGCTGGCAGAGCACAGGCCGCAGTGATTTGGTAGCCGCTGCAGTAGGAGGAAGGACCGCGGTTCTACCCCTTCTATCTTTCAGTTTCGTCTCGAAATTTTTATCAGTGGTGCTTTCTGGTAGCGATCGGTAAATTGAGTGTACAGTAACAGTGTTCTATGATAGCTAAGTCGTAGTATTATCAACGGATAGTCATATCAATCGCCATTTTAATCGCACGTTTTCCCTGACAGAAGCGCTAGCACAACAATGGCTCTGAAAAGAATTCACAAGGTAAGGAAGTGAACGACGAGGCCCAGGATTTCGCAGTTTCGTTAGGGATTTAAATCCAGTCTGGCTAAAGTGATGCTCTCCTGTTGGGTTTATAAAAACAGGGTGAATCAGAAATATTGACAAAAAAAGTCAAGCTTGGTTTGAACTGCCAGCTAACGGTGTGCGAATAGCGAGTGACGACAGTGAGCAATGCACCGCCTGTCTGTTCACCAGCTACAGATGGGCCAACTGAACCGTTAGACTTAGCCACAAGTGACCGTTATGCTAGCTGCTCTATGTTATGTCACATATATTCACAATTGGTGTCTTAACACTGGATATGATAGGATGTTTTAGCTAGCTATGCCGGTTATCAGTTAACGCGTATGATGTTAGCGGCGTGTTAGCTCTCTCTGGCTAACCTTATCTGTCCCGGTTGTTAGCTAACCCGGACAAGCTAAAGGGTTCCTCTGACCAAGCTAGCCTACAGTAACGCTACATATTTACAGTCAAATATACGTAGTTTCTACTCTTACGTGTTTTATGCCATCAATTATCCCCTTATCAGTTTCCCTATACGGTAGTCAAGGTGGCTAACATTATGTATTACAGTTATTTAAGCTTGCTTACCCCGCTCCTTGATTTGACAGATAAGTTATCCGGCTAGCGGTACCGCTAACGTTAGCTTAATGTAAAAGGGCTCTGGCACTTGTTAAATGAACCGACTTGCCTTTACTTTTTATATTTTCTGGTTAACAATTTTATTTCTGACGTGTGTAAGTTAGTACAATTGTAGATAACAGCCCGTATTTAAGGATGAATGTAAATTAAGCTAACGTTCAGCTATCGCACATAATCCGTGTTTTTTTTACAATAACATTATATTGTCTCCGTATTACACAGACAGTAAGTAGGTCAAGCAGTTGTGGGGAAAGGTCGTGTTATGCTCATATTTGAAACCGTAATAGTTTGTTTTCGGTAAGTTATCAGCATTCAGGGACATGCTAATGTTAGCCGTGTGTCACTGGTACAAACAGGCCCCACGCGTTGTCCGCCTTTGATGCCATGTTGCTGACAGTAGGCGAGCAACATATCCGTCATTTTAGCGGTTGTCTGATTTAGTTAGCTGACTGTTGTCTTGTGTTTTACTGTTATTAAGTCGCCCTTTAACGTTAGACATTGACACAATGTGCCTGATCAGCCAGTAATGTTTCTCTCGCTTGACATCATGTGCTGTTCGTCGAACCCGAGCACCAAGCTAACATTACGTTACACTGCGCTACATAAAACGAGCTTACACTCGCTTTAACACAGTCCTGACTGTAGTTAACCCTCTGTCATTATATCGTGATCTGTCACATATACAACCTGCTGTACCTGCGGAAATGCTATTACATAACAGCATTCACTATAGTAATGAAATGGTGTTTTTGTGTCAGTTGCGATTTTTTTAGTTACCGTTTCACAGAGACTTAGTAGCAAATAGCACCGGCAGTTAGATCTGTTTGCCAACAGGGATTTAGTCATCTGTACAGAGGGATCATATGTGGCCTGTGGCATTAGAAGAAACCCATCAGATTATCTCTTCCTAGAATATCTTTTAAAATATCCAGTTCTGCTATGTAGGTAATTGTTAGTGGAAATATTTCACCATACTGTACAAGAGCCGATCAACTGACTTGTCATTTGTTTGTCTCAGGAGTTGAACGACTTGGCACGGGACCCCCCAGCCCAGTGTTCTGCAGGACCAGTAGGAGATGACAGTAAGTTTATCAACTAAAACCAACATTGTTCTGGTAAAAATGTGTAACTGGGGCTCAAAATGTAGCCATACTCAACACAAATTCCTGGTTTATTATTCCCTTGTATTGGATAGATCATTTATTAAACAAATCATCCCACATAAATACATATTTATGGTCAAAAATACCCACAAATGTTTTGAATAAGAGATGCCTTACATTCTAATTATGTTGATTAAATCTTCCACTTCTTAAATTGCTATAAATCAACCCGAGATGTGCTCCCTCAGATCAAATTTTATGATTAATGTTTAGTTTGGATCATTCTGAACACATCCTGTTAATATTTCCATTACCACAGACTGCAATTCAGATGCATAGAATATATTCAAGCCTAAGTTATGTAACTTGGAAAGGAAAATGCAAACCTCAACAGTGAAGGTGCTGGCTTTATATGTGTGGAGTCCAGGACATTTAAATAGATTAAGGAAGTACCTTTGTTTTTTGAGCCAGCCGATCCAGGAAATACCTGGGTCTGCCTCTTGTAAAAATACTGCTGCATCATAAAAGCACAATACTAACACCTCTATTGCTACATGGCCATTTCACTTTTGCTTTCAATGCCAATGTTAGGGGAATTCTTGTCGGGCCACTATCTTATTTTGATATAGCCTTAGAGTCCTATACAAATTGACCCCAAATAAAACCCAGAAGACTCTCATCAACTTAAATGTTAAGCGCATAGGATTACATACATTTCATAAACATGGTTATCTACTTAAAAAAATATATATATATATTTTGAATATTTTCAGTAAAAACAACCAATTTATGTGAGGTTGCTGTCAAAATATACATTAGTTTATTTAAAAAAAGAAACCTCCGTTTTATTTATAACATGTAATATTGTTATATTTCCTATTTACACCACTTTCATACTATCCCAACAGGGGTATAATTTACAAAATAAATGTTAGCTTTTAAATGTGTCATTGTATCTTTGTAATTCCTCTTAAAATATTAGCACTAAATATAAACAAATCTGCTTGAAAAGGTTATGTCAGAAAGTCAATTCAGACACTCAAAACCCTTTATCTTTATTCAAAGCTGTGTTTCTATTTTTTATTTGGGGGTATATTTGTCCATATTGTTATGAAAAATAGATGCAGTAGATTTTACGTAGATGAGTTAATTACATTGAAAGGTGAATTTATCTTTAAACATCTCCCAAACTCATCGCATCATATAATTACTGTCTATGGGGAAAACAAAATATGGGTGTCAGTCCCTTAAAAATATCATCAGCTGCAATATTCAGAGCTGTCTAACTGGCTTTTATAATTGTATGTTTTGATCATTAAAGTAGATGTGTCCTTTTTTATTCCAATCTTTGTTTTTTAGTGTTGTTCTGCTCTGGTGATAAATAACAAACAGCCGATATTTACACTGACGGGTGCATTCGTGTTTTTTTACCCAAACATGAACCCTTGTTCCCCAAAGGTGAATTGCTGCACGTATTAGCCAAGGTAACACAGATGTGTTAAAGTTAATTATTTGCTTTTCAAAAGCAACAGGGAATTTCTATTTTTACTTTGCTGATGTTAACCTTAGGTATAGTTCTCGTCCTTCCTAATTACATCTAGAAGTTTGGTTTATTCTTGAATAAACAGTCATGTGGACCATACAGTTTTGCCAATTGAAAGCTGTTATTCAGATTTTCTTTCAGATTTTGGAAGTTCAACTTAATTTGACCCAATTTACTTATCCTGTTTCACTAATACAGTAGCAAGTTTCAATGAATCTGTCAACAAATTGGACATCTTTATAGCCTTCAAATGTGAGAATATATATTTAATTAAACTAACAATAACTACCCAAAGAAAGAACATTTTAAATCATGATTTTTATTGTTAAAACGTTTCACATCTATCTTCTCCTTTTGTGTATTTGAGTAACGTCATGTAACTTGTTTTCAATATCATTACCAACGAGGGTTTTACAATGCGAGTGCTATCAGTAATTAACATTCTTGCTTAAAATAAGTTTGATAACACTTGACGGCGTATTTGAACAGCTTTTTATTTTTGTCAAAGAAACTGTGTATCCTTGGATTTCACCAGCATTAATAAGAGGAATAGTTTGTGTCGTGGCTATACAAAAAAATCAAACAAACACATTCAAAGAAGAAATCAGCTTTTAATTACAATATGTACCCTCAAGACATTTGTGATGTGTATTTTAATATTGTCAATCTCAGGTTATTTATGCATCTTCAGCATGTATGCAACACCTTTTGTCAGTAAACAGGAGAACATAAAATCAGTTACTTCCTGCCTCACAACGTCAAGAAAAACCACTCCATCATAAAGGTCGAAAGGTTTTCTTGTAACATATTTGTTGTGGTCTAATTTAACTTTTCCCCTCGCACCTCAACAGGATGCTTGAAATAGAAAGGTTTAAATACGAGTAATCTTTCGGTTGTACAATTTCTGTCCAAGCATTCCTTTAGATATTTCTGAATGTAAGTTTCAGGCTTCTGCCATTTATACTCATTTTCAATTGAAATGTATATCACTTCTAAGTACACCCGATCTGATTTGCACTTTATGTAAGCTCCTGTTACTCGAATGTCCAAATAAACATGCACACTTCATGTGGCATTATTTATTCTAACACTTCTCAGCCGTGCAATGTGTTCTTCGTGTTACATAACCCATTTCTCTGCTCTATGTTTCAGTGTTTCACTGGCAAGCCACGATAATGGGACCTGTAAGTATTCACTTATCGTATATTACTGAAGTCACACCCTTAATACGGATGCAAACTTGTCGCCTTTCGGTGAAATTCGCCGTTTTGAATCCAAAATAGGTAGTTTGTGTGATTCATGTAGAGCTGCAATACAAATATTTTTGGGGTATGGGGGGGTCTGGGACCCGGAGTAATCTGCGGCCGTGAGCTGTTATGTGCCATCATGACACGCATGGTGTTCTTTTTTTATATATTATAAATATAGTGCGAGCTGTGTGCTCGAGTCTTCCTGCCTGTCGGCTCTGCTCATGGATGTATAATAAGGCTCTGCTGCTCCGAGATGATGGTCTAGCTTCAGCAGCTACATTACCTACGGGTGCGTTCGTTAATAATAACTGTGCGTCCGGAGTCACTGTGGCACAGACTGGACCGCTGGTGAACAGCTGTTAGAACGGGCCGTTCAGGTGTTCAGAGCAGAGCTCCCTGTCGGAGCGGCAGAGCGTGATGTGAACTGAAAAGTTTTTCTGTCGCAATATTATCGTTGAGCTAGCTAACTAGCATACATTGTCACTATATGCTAACGTTAGCTTAGCCTTCGTTTTCTAATAGTTTTTTTCATAGGCTATAAGCAGAGGTTGTATAAGTATATTGTACTAGAGAAAAAGTAGAAGTACTCAGATCTTGTACTTGAGTAAAAGTAGAAGCACTCAGATCTTGTACTTGAGTAAAAGTAGAAGCACACAGATCTTGTACTAGAGCAAAAGTAGAAGCACTCAAATCTTGTACTTGAGTAAAAGTAGAAGTACTCAGGTCTTGTTCTTTAGTAAAAGTAGAAGTACTCAGGTCTTGTTCTTTATTAAAAGTACTCAGGTCTTGTACTTGAGTAAAAGTAGAAGTACCAGAATGTAGGAACATTCCTGCAATCAAAATGTTCCTCAAATAAAAGTACAAAAGTATTATCATCAAAATATAATTAAAGTAGAAGTACTCAGATCTTGTAGTAAAAGTAGAAGTACTCAGATCTTGTACTTGAGTAAAAGTAATAGTCCAGAGTGTTAGAATACTCTGTTTACAGTTAAAGTTCCGCATTCAAAAATGTTCTTCAGGAAAGTAGAAAAGTATTATCACAAATATATAGTGAAAGTAGCGGACAGTAAAAGTAGTCAATTGTGCAGATTGGTCCATTCAGATAATAGATATGATATTGGTTTATAATGATTGATCCATGGAAAAGTGTTCTCAAAGGCTGTAAAGGTGAGCTAGTTGAATGACTTTGCTATACTGGCAGGGGTACTGTGGATTTACTCCAGGTGGGAACTAAGTCTGATTAACACTGATTAGATTTCACTAATTAATCACCAGATCTGTGAGTAACCTAAAAGGTATTAATACCATTTGTAGGGTGGAGTCAACGTACACCAGTGTACCTCTGAACTGTAGTGGAGTAGAAGAACAAAGTAGCAAAACATGAAATACTTAAATAAACGTACAAGTATCTCAATTGTGCCCCAAGTATGTAACTTGTTGAGTTTTATGAACTTAGTACTTTAACACCCATGTGGCTATAAAGATAGGAAAGGACTAAGCCTTGCACAAGCACGAAAATACATTTTCAAAAATGGGCTCACAGTGGCTGCCAAAATATAAACTGGCTGGCTCCACCAATTTAAATAAATGCTTTATATATTCTATTAGATGTGACTTGCTTGGCTTTCTGTTATTATTAATGCTTTTAAGTTGTTCTGACTGCTTTTAAAAATCTCTTTATCCTCATTTTAAAGGCCGATATTCCGGTGGGTGGGGGCTCTGATCCTGTGGGCGGAGCACCGTGTTGGTACGGTGAGGAGTTTGCATCCCTGCTTAATTAAATGCCATTTCTAGGCTGCTTTTTTTCGTTGACTGGCAATTACCCTCGTTCATATGGGTCACGAGAACAGTTTCACCTTACATTTTTAAACGGCAATCGAATAGGTTCAAAGAACGAATATATTGTGTCAAACAGACAGCGCACCTGGTTTTAATTTGTATACATTTGTTCTCAGTCACCTAATTAGATGGTTTTCTCCCTCCCCCCCCCCCCACATTGGAAGACAGTCCTTATCAGAGCGGGGGTTTTCTTTCTTGACCATTCAACTTTCCCACAGGACACCTTCAGAACCGCCAAGGTGGGCCAAGACCTAAGCAAAGAAAGGATTATAAAACACAATACCAGTAGCACAGAGGAAGCCTCCTGCTGCACAGCTTACATCATTCTGGTTTTCCTTCTTTCTCCCCCCCCCGTCTGCAATAAGTTGCATTTCCACAAGAAATCTACCACCCAAATATCAACAGCAACGGCAGCTTTGTCTTTACATTCTGCCGATCAGTGGTCTCCGGCCTCACCATCTCCAAATGGTAAACTCCCTTAACTCCTAACAGACACATATGGTTAAAGAGAATAGCGAGTAATAAACGAAATTGTTCCACAGGATAATACACTTACAACATTCTCACTCGGAGGTCCTTGTATCAGACGCGACGCTTCTCTCTGGAAATGTCAACTTTCTCCCGTCATCATTCAGTGCTTATCGCTGGGTGTCATGAACCACAGTTTTCTATTTTTACATCTGAAATTGCATGTGTTATCAACATTTCTGTAGGGCATCACAAGTACTCAGCCTACTTTGCACCCNTTCTGTATCAAAATCATGGCGTCCAAAAAAGTCATGTTAAATATGAATATACAGTATGAAGTGGAACACCCCATCTATTTACAAAACTCCTGTTTCTTAGCAGAATGTTAGCTTTTCTTATGTTGTGGATGGTTTGTTGAAAGGAAAGAAATGATTGGATATGTCATATAATGTGACGAACTTAGTGCCATAGTTGTTCATTCAAGTCAATAATCTTTTTAAATGTATCTCGTATTTTTATATTTTAACTAAATGATGCCTAATTTGATGTCTTTTAAACTGTTAATAGATTAAGAGCTCCTTCCTATAAGGGGTGCGGGCCCTTAGATTGAAGGGTCTTTATACACTTCGATATACACTTAAGTGTTGTATACTTGCTCCCAGACAGTATTCACCACTGATTAAGTCTTTTTGTTGTTTCTTTGTAGATGGGAGAATGTAACTGTCTAATTAATTTGTTTGAATCCAGTATTTCTGCACAGTTTCAGTAAAAGGCTACCGTAAGATTATAAGTATTATAATATGTGTCGAATTTAATTTTGGGAAACGCTGCGTAGGATTGTAACTTGTGTGATCCAAACATTGATTGAAAGCCAATTCCATTTTCCAAAATTCACAACATGTTTTTATCAAAGCAAATATTCTGACTTTAATTATTCTGGTGTATCAATTTATCCAACTTGATATGAGGAGGTTTTGATGACTTGCAATCTTTTGAAACGACAAGCTGACTCTTCTCCTTTGTCGATGTACCGAGCTTACTTAACTGAATGTTGCCTCACTGATTTGTTAATGTTTATCCTCACTCAGCAGAGCCAGTGACGCAAGCCTATAGGGTGGCAATGTCTCAGAGAGCGTGACGATTACAGCGTGTAATATATCTACATGCAGTGTTGATGAGTTCAGGGACTGTTGAGACATCTGCTTCTATCTCCTGTCACTCGAGACGATGTGCCTCTGTGGAAATATTCCCAGTCTTGACTTCCCCGCTGAGTCCTGCAAGCTGTCTGCAGCTCTGCTCACTTGTGTGTGTGTGTGTGTGTGTGTGTGTGTGTGTGTGTGTGTGTGTGTGTGTGTGTGTGTGTGTGTGTGTGTGTGTGTGTGTGTGTGTGTGTGTGTGTGTGTGTGTGTGTGTGTGTGTGTGTCTGGATTGGACGCCCGTCCCTCTTTGACGCAGACCTGTGTGAAACTTGCTTTCTCACGCACGTGTGTGTTTTCTCTCTCCCTCCAATGTCTGTCCTCCTACAGGACAGTGTCCCAATGGCCTCTCCTGCTTTCCTTCTCTCTCTCTTTGTAAGTATTCAGGTGCTCCGTCAGATTTCACCAGAACCGTGCCACGCTCCGCACACAAGTGACTCAACACACACACACACATGATA